TTGAATCTTATCCATTTTGACCTTTAATCCCCTCCATTCGTTTGATCGGAAACAAATTATCTTGGAATTAAGTATCTTGAGATAAGTTATTTCACCATGCATATGAGATTACTTATTTCATCGTTAAGACATAAATGGTGGGATAAATAATTTCAGAACAGCCTAATACCTTCAACCAAACGCAGGATAATTCGAGATTATTATATCTTATACCTCATACCAAATGATTCTTTGATGTGTAGGTTTGAGTTTGAGTTTAAGCTAGATCAAAGATTTAGCCGTCGTTTGGTGTGAGATATGTGATATTATAATCTCAGGGATAAAATGCAGGACTATTTTGAAGATATTAGACAGTCCTGAGATTATTTATTCTACCATTTAGACGTTAGTGATGAGAGGGTGAAAGAATTTGTCACAGAATAACTTATTATGCGGGATTATTAGTTTCCGACCAAGCGACTCCTTAAAGTTTATGAGTTTTTATAAGAGTGAAGGGTTAAAAATACACTTAATTTATTCAGAGCTTATTGAGTCTCATACCTAAACTATTAGGTGTAAGGGTTTCTTATTACCTGAACTATAAACACACATGAACTATCAATTGTTTGAGTTTCATACCTGAAATTTCAGGTAGGAAAAGTGAACAATCAATAATTGTAGTGTGTTTCGATAAATATTTAATGATACTTTATGTAAAAAAAAAAAAAGCCCATACACCAAATAATTCATGTATGAAACTTTAAAAATTGAAATACTTTAGATGTATTTTTTTTATTGGTATTTCTTCTTATAATAATCTTAAATTAATATGTAATTAGCCCACTATCCTATATTTTCATGTTTATTTGGAAAAAATAAGAATTAGTTATGTGTTACTATAATTGATATATAAATTGATAATATAATAATTATTTAGAATGTTTATTACTAGTACTTGGTCGATATAAAGTGACGTAGAGTCAATTTTCGAGGATAAAAATATGGGAAATTCACAAAAGTAGAAGCCTAATTGCTATTGTTTGAAATATATAAGCTCTTATATGAATTTTGACCTCTATCATAATTGATATTTTTGACCTCTATTTACTCAAGAATTTTATTATGGCTTTGAATGCACTTAACCATGATGATGAATTTGAGAGAATATAGTTGATGACAAAATAAAGTTGTTGCGTGATGATTCAGTATCTTTTCATTTCTAATCAGAAATTTTGAATTTAAATGTTGAAAATATAGAATTGAACGGTATCTATATGTTTCGTCTTTATAATCTTACAATATCAGAATTTAAATTTAGTTGAATCTTAACGTAAATAAAAGACAAAAAGGGTAAAATTGGAAGAAAAAAAGAAGTTGATGCGACCTTGGGATTGGTGGTTAAGGGAGTGAGTCAAAGTTATGTATTGACCTTTCCCTTTGTTAAGATGTTTTTTGGACTTTGTAGTAGTAGTAATAGTCATTGATTTTACAAACTCCACTACTTTACGTCTCTCTCAAATATTTTGTATTTTTCTATTTTCGATTTCAATTTATGGAAACGTATTTGATTATGTTACGTGTTATAAGAAAGAAAACTTCTTAAATTTGTGATTTAAAGTAATTCATAGAAATTTGGAATGAACATTTAAGACTGACATTTGGAATGTAAACAATTTAATATGAAGGTTGAACATCAGAAAATAAGAATTAACTTGAGTCTTACCTTAATATGATGCAAATACATAAGTTTTCAATCTAGTTTCACTCCCAAAGTTAGCTATTGAGGAAATTATTACGTAATACTCCCTCTGTCTCTAATTACTCGTCCACTTCATTTTTTAGTTGTTCCTAATTACTTGTTCATTTTGACAAATCAAGAAAAGACAAATTTTTTTACCTATTATATCCTCAATTAATTACTTTGAAAAGAGGTAGAACTTCTTGAAAATCTTAAGTTTTTAATTCATCAATTTCATAATTAATAGGCGTAAAATGGTAAAGTCACTATGTCAATTATTGTTTTCTTAATAGGTGTGTCAATTCAAAAGTGGACAAATAATTAGGGACAGAGGGAGTACCAAATAAAAAACCACTCATCCTTTTTTCAATCGATGTGGAACTCTTTAACGTATTTAATATTTGTTATACAATTGCTAAGTATTTTTCTTATACATTAATAACAATTAGTATAAACTATTACAAAATATTAAAATTCCAAAGACTTCTAAGAAACCATGTATATTAGGTTATTGGTCAAAATTAACATTGGTTTTTTAATGGTTGGCTACACTTTAAAAAAAATCATATTAGTGACTCACACATCAAATAGAAGAAAAATAGTAGGATTAGTAATAATGGCAAATATTAATTATAAAGTGAGTTGAAATAATAATTCATTTTTATCTTTGATTTGGCAACTTCCATAATCCACCAATGATATTTATTTTTTAGAATTGTCAAATCTTTTAGTAAGCAAATACGGCTATTTATTAATTATGTAAATGAAAATGACAGTTTTTTTTTTGGCAGTTAATGTTGATTTTGATTTGAATATAATAATGGTAGAAAGAGAGAATATTGTGTAATGTCAAGAAGATAGTTCTTTTTTAAAATTTCAATTAGACGATTTTTTATTTAGGAAATTACGTATTTTGATCAAATTATTTAATTTGACTAAGAAAAATTCAATATTTTCAACTTTTGCAATTCAAAGAAATTCAAAAAGGAAACTAAAACAAAAGACTGCCAGAGTAGGTGTAGGAATCGAGAAATTACGTCGTATATATAAAATTAAAATTACTTTATATATATAATAAATATCACATTTTAAAAAAAATTGTATATTAAATTTTTAAATATTTTATATCTCCTTAATAAAAATTCCGATTCAATCACTTCGGATAGCTTTGGTTTCATCTTCAATATTTGGTGCACCAAATTAAAGATGTAAAAGGTAAAAATTAACCAAAAAGTTTATGTTGGTTGAGACTTTAATTATGAGATTGCAACAATAGAGATTAAACAACTTGTAATAGGGGAAAAAACATATTTTGAAGCAATAGATATTATTGGTTTTATTCAAACCATATATATAAAGTTTAGGTGAGATTTCACATTAGTTGGTCTACAAAAAATTTCCAACCCTATCTAGATATTATGAGGTAATGTAACTTTTTTTCTTACTCAATATATAGTGATATGGCTATAATTATAATTACGATAATTTTTTATGATAGAGTTATAATTAAAGTTATGAATTTGACAGAACTTAATAAATTTTATTTATATTAAAAAATTAACTTAAAATATATAAATTATTTATCTTGATTCAAAACAGATAAATTTAAAATTTTGATTCCGATTATGAGGATATAATTAGGTGGCTAGATCATGTCCCCTTCATTTATATATGGTTAAATGCAATATAAGATATAAAATACATTTTCAAACCATATCTTATGTGGAATAATCTTTGTTACTCATACAATTCAAAGTCTCAATTTATATTTAAGTCGTTAGAATTTTTGAGCCATTGACAATTCTATTATGCTGATTATATTATGAAAGATATGATCATATACAATCCTAGTTGTGAGACACATATTATTAGATTACAAAATTTGATATTAGTTCTAAAGTTTCGACTGTTATGTATTTGCATTTTATAAGATTCACTAAAGGCAAAAACACTTCTTACCCTTTTTTTTTTATATCACTAAAATGCGACTCGAAACTTTTGATTAAAAACGAAAAACTCATCACAATTCTAATGTAGGAAGGAAGAAATTAATATCGACTTCCACTATCTTATGGAAGTAGTTGTGAGATTCAAAGGCTTTGAGATACACAATCCTAATTGTGAGACACGTAAAATTGAAGTATAATTAAGTTCAATATTAATTTTGGAGCTTCGACTAATCAGAATTTCCATTGTATAACACTCGTTATAGGTAGAACCACTCCTTTTCATTTTCTATCATCAAAATTGATATTCGAAACCTCTAATTAATAAATAAAAAATTGGTGAAGAATGCATAGTTACTTCCACTATCTTTGTTTGGTCTATTTAGCAATGACTTGTAATGAATTGGAAGCACTAAGAAAATTGACTTAATTTAGTTAAAAGGAATTATTTTTAAGTCATTTTCATAAATATCTCAGCCAAAATAAATAAATAAATAAATAAAAATAATGTCTTTCTAGATCTCAATAATACTATACTCTGTGCTAAGCAATATGCCAATTCTTTTAGTTTGACCTCTAATTGTGTATGACAGCTGTCCATACATCATTTGATGAAAACTATTATGAGTAAATTCTCTTTCATCCCATCAACTTTATGTGGTAACGACTAACGTGAGTCGAATATGAAACTTCTGATTAATAATAAAATAATAATGTATTCGTTGAGATCTAATTTGATCTTTATAGAATTTTTGAGATATTTTTTTATAATATCTTATTATAGCATTTACAATCGCTTCTGATTTAGGTGGGCAATCAGTACTATCAAAGTTATTTAACTTAAATTCAGGATAAAATAGATATATATTATTTTGAGACTATTGTCTTATGTATCGTAATCCTAAACATGCGACTGAAAGACTCTATTAAAATGAAAATGGATAGTCAAGAACGTTAAGGAGATAGAATGATCAGTTGGTCAGATCTAATATGGATCTTTGACGAATAAGGTGCTTTAAGACTCAAAAAAAATTGAATTTTTTAAATTTTATTATATAAATAATATCTTTTCAGCATTATAACTAAAAAATATTGTCTAACATTTCAGTACTATTCAAATTGTGAAACAAAAGGGACAAAAATAATTAGTTACGAATTTCATTACTAATTTGTCGATACCGCTCATAGCTAATTAATTTTTTTTA